AATTTAAAAGACAGACTAAAAGAGCTGGTTATAAAGCTACAAAATGATTAGGTAGAAATAACTCATTAGCATTGATAAAATGCCAAGCTGTAATTGAAGATACACGAAAAAAAAAAATCAGAAATAGTCTTGCTGCCAAGTAATTGGTAGAGCTCCTGGCTTAATTTATTACATATTAAAATTTTAAATTTTTATGTATTTAAATACTTTAAGACTAAATTATGATCAGAAAATATTTAACTTTTAAATATAATTTGTAAAAATTTTCTGACATTCTTTCAGAAAAAAAATCTGACTTGTATTGCAGTAAGGTTTGGGGATCATATCGGGTTCTGAACAACACAAGGACAGCCTTCTCCCAATCTAATTATTAATGGCATTATTGAATTCAACCAGATGTTTCACATGGATAAAATTAAGTACATGCATAAATCAAGATCCAAGTGCATGCTTAGATTTGACAGAAGATAAGGAAAGGTGAAACAAAAAATAATGAAGACAGTTAATAAAAAGCTATATATCCCTGGTTGTTAATATAACTTGAAACTAAAAATTCAAAATGTAATAGGCCTGTTAAACAATCACTGTGCTGACAGACAAATGAGCAGGATGTTTCTCACATCATATTGCCTACTAGATTCTATCCGGCCAAGTATAGCCAACCTGAGCAGTAAACCTTTTTATGGCTTCCCAAAGGTAATTAAATAAGAGTTAAAGATACTCTCAGTGTACAAAATACAGCTAAGGAACTACATTTCTATTAATAATGTAAGAATTTCAAATATTAACCTAATGGATAATCCTTTATGGAAATTATGTAAGTGAAAGGTAGAGTGCATGATTTAAAATACAGTACACACTTGCCCTCTCATAACTTTTAAAACTGCAAGATCATTTGCATCTAAGCAGCGGTAAAAAATAGTATTTTAAGAAAAGAGGGAAGACATTAACAAATTAAACTATTCCTAAACAGGAAAAGTTGTTTTTAAAGAAACACTTCAGGCATAAGCAAGTTATTCCTACAAAAGAATTTAAAACTCTGGAAACAGGAACTTCTATTTAAACACCAATCTCAGGCAATAATTACAACTGCACTTCTATAGAGTCAAGAATTAATTTGAAGTGTCTCTGGTGCATTGCCATTGCAGCAAGTTTACCTGGAAACACAGACTGAGATGATAGCTGGCTCTGGATAAAGGTGGCCCAAAGAAAAACTGGAGCATGCAGCGTGCAGAGAAAAACCGGAGCATGCAGTGTGCACTCCCTCTGCTGGGCACCGAGCCCATCCTCAGCAGGCGTTCAGAGCAAGGAAGGGCTAGGTCCGAGCTCCCGGGCACCGCGAAATAAAAGCCCTGTTACAGCTTCTGCCCTCTTTCTAGATTCAGCTAAAACTCAGGTTCACAGAAAAATGGATGTCAAAAGTCCTGTCTATACTCTCAAAACACATTTCCTATCAGAAACAGGCACCTGATTCACACAGCAAACAAGTATTTAACTACAGTGAATGTAACTTGTGTAAGCACACAAAACTTCATTTGTCTTTGACCAACTCTGTAAGACTGTCATTTTTTATGCAACCCTCACCTCTCTGAAAAAATAACAACTCGGGAAGAAATGTCTTGATGACTTCTGATCTGCTGAGGGCACAGCACTGGGAAGAAGGAACGCATAGTCTGGGCACTTGGGATGTATTAGCATTTATAAAGTCTCCTGCAAGGGATTTGTTTCTAGACAGTGAAAGGATGACCTTTGCTGTTCTTTTCCCTCTCCTCCCACAGCTCCTGAGAGGTAAGTGCAGAATGGTGCTGTAGGCTAACTTGTGTTGGCAGAGTTTAGTGTCATGTAAAAATTATGGCATTCCTCGTAATTAAGATATTCTGACGGTTTTAATTCTTCACTATCATGGAGAAGAAAATAAAGAGGTGGTTGTATCTTATGTAACCATAAACCATTTTAAGTCAAAGTGTTTCACTGTATAAAGTTAGATGTTTTTCCTCAAGTGATTTTGTATAAGAGAAGTTCTGTAAACCTACAGAAAGTTCTGTAGTTTGCAAAGCAGTGGGGTTTTTCCATTTGTCAGTAAAGACAAAGGCAAAAAAACTTCAGAGAAAATAATTTGTGCTAATTTGCTAACATGCTCTGATTGCCTAGGAATGCTGCCTTGCAGGCTAGTGCTCTGTGATCTGGAAAAATGAAGCGAGAAACAACAGAAAGCATGGAGGTAATAGCGAGGATTGCCTAAATCAGACACCTTCCTATACCAACCAAATGATTCTTCTGTGAAGGCAGGCCAGGTAACAACCAATTTCTTCCTTTCAGTGTAATTTACATCCAGCTACATTGCTTGTATATTTATATTGAACTGTATCATCAAGAATTACTCCAAATATATACACCTTATTTGCACGTCAGCCATGTGCACGTGTAACTGCTCAGCTAAACAGTAGTACCGATGACATGTGGCAGTGGTAAGGGACTCCAGAACCTTCCATCTTTTAAGTGGCAATTTAAATCTCAGTGGGATTGAGAGGTATAGTAGGGATCATAGCAACACATCTCCAGTTTCACTGTCTCTTGGCAAATCCTTCCCTTTATCAATTTTCTTGATCTCAATTTGAGGACAGGCAAAGCCTTTCCTTCCCCCTCCCTGGACAGAACAGAAACAAAGCATAGAACAGAACAAATTAAAAGGGGGGAAATTAGAGGCCACAGAAGCATGGAGAATGAGCACAAAGGAAAACCAGAAAGTCTGAGGAGAATGGGCAAGACCAAGTCCCCAGGCAAGTTTCCAAGTCCCTATCATTCTGTTTTATATTTGCTAATAAAATAAAAACACTTTCTCCCTGAACGTAAGGCTTGTTTGTGGTGCAGGATCATAATTACACTCAAAGAAACGAGCAAACACACAAACAATTCACCTTTACGTTCTCCAGCTAACAATACACATACCTCAGATTGCAGTCGCTAGTTGCCAGGAAAACTGCCGTCGTATCCAAATGTAGAGATGTCACGGACCAACTACAAGCTAGACAATTTACAGAGGACCCTCCACACTCAGACACTTTATTCACACTCTCTCACTGCTTACTAAATGCTCGCTTTCATTTCTATGTGTGCTCATCTTTATACCCAAGCAGGTCCCAGCACTCACTGACTCCATGCGCTAACAAATAACACTCATAACACACTGAGCTCTGTCACGACAGGAACATTGTGAGCCAGTGCTTCGAAGGACAGACTATCAGTACTACTTCTCTTGGATCTAAAGACACAGAAGATAGCAAACCTTTGGCATAGCAAGCACTACAGCACCAATGACATAAGGACGTACAGGCAGAAGCAACAATACATGACACAAGCAGTAATGCTGAATTGGAGCTCTGCGTAGTGTTTCGTATGCTGGCATGTAAATATCTGACAGATAGGGATTTAATAATCACGGTCTAAGAGATGCTGTTTATTTTGTTCTATCAGACTCTCATTTTACCATGTTTTTACATTTCAACAAAGTCATCTGACATGCGAATAAAAGATAATTTATACTGTTTCCTTCTGCAGTACAAAGCTCTCTATGTTCTGGCTATAAATTTGAAGTAACTCAGCACTAACACTTAAGTTGGGTATTTTCCACTGGAGAAAACCCCTAGGAATAATTATATATTGTTTTCAATACTTAAATTAATACCTCAGTCTGCATTGCTTCATTTTCAATGTATTATTTGTGAGTATTGCTATGCATTTTTTTTTCCCCCTTTTCTAACGATGGAATTTATTAGCTTTCAGACCTTGTATAGATAGCATTGATCAATCTTCAGAAGTGGTAACAGTACCACTTTAAACACATACACATGCACGCATGCACACACGAAAATCAAGGCTTGAATGTCCTTTATATCTTGCAAGAAATATAGCAACCAATATTCCATGCAGAGGTGCAGCAAATGAAGTCCTGTCAAGCAAATGGCAGGAATGACAGCAGATGTCTGGATTCCTTCATAGCTGGTTGCATAAAGGTAGCACACATATTTCACTGGAGAAAAAACCTCTGACAAGACAGTCTTTCAGTACTTTTCATTCAGAGTTGGCATTTTTGACTGGTGTGGTACATCAGTAGGTATTAAGATGATGAACCAGATTAATCTTGATAAAGCTTCATTTGCACAGTGAAAGCAAAGTCTACAACACTCAGTCATGGCTAAATGAGGCTACCACAATTTAGTCCAAGGTAAAATGTCCGGATCAAATTCTTCCAATCCAGTCATAAACCAGACTCTACTCCAGATCCTGACCCAAAACACTTATTTTCATGTCAAGCTATACAGTAATTTTTGTTTGATTGCAGCCAACAAATGAGTGTTACGCAGCTCTGCTTTTTAGCTACATAAACAAGCCATAGACTCCTTTCTGGATCTGAATAAAGTATTTGATCTTTCAGCCTCCGTTTATTCACAAGTTCTACCTATGACAGTTTTTGTGAAATAGGCAGCTAATCTTCGTGAAATATTTTGACAATTTAAAGCTTTATATAACAACTAATTTTCTTAAGATATCCTCAGTCACATTGCATGCTCACTAGAGACAGTAAATGCTCCAAGGCAGAGACAATACTTTCCTGAATGATGAGACACTAGCATAGTTTGGCAAGCTGTAAATACAATGTTTACCAAGAAATATGTACAAAAGGAGCTGAGGACCCAGCAGTGTTACACATAAAGAAATTAAGAGTAAATAAAATCTGAATTTAACTACTTCTCTAACCTAAACAACAACAGTGCTGCTTTACATGGTTTTGTCTAATAACCAGGATCCTGGCATACTATACAGGTATATAGTGCAACTTCCTTGAGTGAAGCTACAACCAGTTGAATTAGGGTCCTTTTCAATAAATCTTGTGTTAAAAACTTTCCCAGATTAAGGCTTAAGAGAAAGTACATTTTTTGTAAACAAGCTAAGCGTTACTAATGGGGCCCTCTAATAAAACAGAATCTTAAGAAACTCACCCCTTTTCTTTTTCGTGCTTTGAAGGAAATGTTCATTTCCTTGTATTTCTTCATAGCAGTCTCCAATTTATTCTTGAGATCAATGGCACATCTTAGCCGATCATCATTTATTCCTGCTCTGGTAAATAACTGCAAAGCAAGAAATTAACATTCTTATTATTTTTTCTAGACAACTGAGCCAAAAAACATATTCAGCTTTCCTTCGTAATTAATGAAACAACACTATCACAAGTAACAATTGGTGAAGCCACTTCTGTTCCTATCTAGAACATAAAAGCTAACAGCAACTACTGAAGACAAACAAAGAATGAACAGCTGGTATAAACATCTCCTGAGAGTATCCTTCTGTAGGCCAAATTCCATATATGAGGCTCCTGAACAGTAATATCAATTGACAGAAAAGACCTACTGCTTTTCTGATAGACACGTCTAACAAAAACAAGCTGTGTTTTACTTGAATCCTTTGCAAAGAAGACCCATTTTACTCTATCATATACGTAAAAAAAAAAATCAGCATGACTCTAGGTAGCATACCTAATGCTGAGAGCCATTAAGCAAGTTACGTAGCTCCCGTAGTCTCCTTTTGTCCATTCCTACTGAAACAGTAATCTTTTTTATTTGCACTAATGTTTCTGCAGCCTTAGTTTTCTTTTTGCTCACTCTCACTCAAGATTTACTGTACCCCATTCCTTGCTTCTCCATCTTTTAATTAAAAAAAAAAAAAAAAAAATGCCTATCTCACCTGAATCCAGGACTGCACGGAAGGCCAGAACTTATTTCTGAGAAGTTTGTAAGCATCCATGACATTGTTTATTATGGCAGTGTTATCTTCATTCTCATGCACTTTTATATCTGCACAAAACGGGAAAAAATTAGTGCATGATGTTCACAGTATCTTCACTACAGGAGCTAAAGAAGGTAAGTAGAAGTAGACATGAACCTTTCTAGAATATCTGATCACTTCAGGGAAGGCTACAAACATCAGAATGTCTCTCAGTTCAGTATTATTTATTCTACCACTATCCACACATTCAAAAAAAACAGAGGAAAAGATGAAAAAAAAGCTTTCTGTCCAGTGATGACAGGAAGTTCTTAAACCATCACTACTAAGGAATTATCAAATAAACTACAGGCAAGTGTAGTTTTACTATTTACATCACATCTTGCCCCAAGTTCAAACGAACTGGACCTTATTGTTCCAGTTTCTGCGTATTCAATATAATACAATCCCCCGTGGCAACAGGGACTTGATTGCCAAAGCAGCCAAATGTGCCACTATCCAAGTAAAAATGGTACTTTTCACCTGTTAGTCATTCACAGGCACCATGGACACATTTCCAATTCTGTTGTCTGCAAGCACAGTAGTCACCTGCCTTTCTGGCTGTTTACACATGAAATTCCATTAGGACAGTATTTTTAAGAGACTTTGGCACTTAGACTGCCAAAACACAAACCATCCTAATTTTTCTAGGGGTGACTCACATTAACAAAGTTATATAAAAAACCATAATCATAATCCTTAAGACTTCATAGCAAAACTACTTACTGCTTCTTGCAAGATGACAGTAGCAAGGAAAAAATAACATTTCAGAAACACTCAATTGTATGGTTTTTTTAAATTAGCAGCTTATACCCCAGCTATATAGAAAGAGGAGAGTAGTTAAGCATATGAGAAAAAAAAATATATAAACAGATTTTTTTTTTTTAACACAGGAAACTCATCTTATTGGAGGTACTATGAAGTGCTGTAATGTGCTTACAATTAATATAGAAGTTCAGTCTTAAAAGTTAATTAATAAAATCTGCTAATCACACACACGGACACCTAAACCTGAAAATGGTTACTAGATGAACGAGAAATAGAAAAGAACTCCAAAATAAATCAAAGTGGTGTCCAGGAATCCCAAATCAGAATTGTGTCAGGGTACTCCAGCATTTAAGTCACAGAAAAAAAAAAAAAAAACCCACAACTACAAAGTACTTCAGACAAAGGCTGCCTCCAGACAGATGTGAAAAATTCTTTCAGGTACCTGTGGAGATTTCAAGGTCTAGAGTATACTTATGTGAAATAAGCCCATGGTTCCTAACAAAAGTCTGGTAATCATCATCATCGAGAGCAGGGTCACCAGGCTGAACTTCTGAGCATGTGCCTCCATCTAATTCTTTTTGCTCATCCTTCTCCTGTTTCTCATCTAACTCTTCGGTTTTGTCAGTTTTAACACACTGAGAAACAGAAACAATGTCCTTGCTGCAGCATGGCTGTTCATCATCCATGCATCCAAAACAGGACTGGTTAACTTCCACCTGGGAGGACAAGCAGGATGCAGGTCTATCCTCTACAGCAGACGTTTGTTTGTTGGGTTCCAGTTCCACGTCATTCACAGTGAAGTCAAAAGGATCTGGCATCAGAAGCTGGAAACAGTTTTCCATCTCTGTCAATGTGTTGGCAATCTCTTGGGACATTTCTATCAAGAGACAATTGTTTCAGAATATTGTTAAATACTGTAAAATGCTAACATGTCCAGAGCAGACAGATTTACAGAATAAGTATGACTGTCAATGGGGTAATACATTTATTCAGTAATCAGTGATAGTTTATCCATACAGATCTCTCTCTGCTGCAGAAATTGTCCTTATGAAAACGACAATACTCTTCTTAAGCAAGAAATCTAGAATTTCCTGAGCAAGAAATTTAGAATCAGTGTTCCTCCTTTCTCTATGCTCTCTAAAATTTCACTCCGCAAAGATGACACAAATACTTCATAGAATTTGAAAGAGAACAAGGTTCAGTGAGGATATTCTTAGGGATGTTGGTGTGTACTCATTCTACAACCATGAATGTTACAGTTGCTTGTAGGTGTAGCCATGAATAGATGCCATTGCTCAAAAAGATGCTACCAATAAAAGTGACTTTAAGAAGGATAAACCTCTTTAAAATTCCACCCTTGTGCATGAAAATGTTTTCAGCATGCAGGATAACTGCAGACACAACTGGACGCATTGCATATGCCAAAGTAATTTAATTAAATAACCCTTTGTAACTGCAACATAATATACTCGCTACCTCTGTTTTTCTTTCGTATTACAGAAATATGCTTGCTACTTACATATTGCTTAGAGATTTGGACCCCAGGTAGACACATTTTTTAGCAGTATGATACTTTTCGTAGATACCCTGTACTGCATCCAGGATTTTTGTGCAGACCATTGCTTATACTGCTGGAACATGATGACTGTATACACAATTTACTTAAGATCATCAGCCAACAAGGTGTTGAGAAATCTGTGCCTAGTCAATGACACAGCTACTAAGCCACTAGCTCTGAAAAGTCTCATGATATGCTTGCTTGAGGTTATGCATTCATACTTTACTGAATTACAAACCAGACCTTTCCTTGCTAACATATAAAAAAACCCAAATCTCTTCTACCTGATCTCTACTACCCAAGTTTACTAGACTGCCACTTGTTTCCCCTGATATTCTTTAGGTGAGAGAGACAGAGGGTCAAGCTCTAACAAACGCAGTACTCCCACCCTCTATGGTCAGCTATGACTTGGATAGCTATTCTCTTAGAATTTGTTTTATATAACCTTAAAAAAGGTTGCTTTAAAAACAAACAAATTAAAAAAAAAAAAAAAAAAACCGCACTAAAAGAAGTAAAGCAACTCACCTTCCATTTCTTTTTCAGCTCTTTTGGCTTTTTCTTTGTAAATGTTATCCAGTCGTTTTTGCTTCTCCTCTTCCCTCCTCCTTTCAGCCACTGTTCGGGCATGCACATCTTGAAAATCCACCTAAGGAAGAAATGAAGAAAAAAGTATAACGTTCCTCATAAGAAATATATAGAAAATCCATTTCCCCAAGATCCTTATCTGGCATGAAAAATTCTCTAACATCAGCAATCAGCCAGAAGCTCAGCAGTACTTCCTTTTATCTCTTCTCCTCCTAGAATCAATAACTACAGTAATTCTGAACGGAGTTTTTACTTCTACTAATAAGGGACTGCTGAGAATCAATGGCTTTCAGAAAGGAATCACAAGGCAGAAAAACAAAACGCATAGACTTCCACCTCTAAATTGCAGGAATAAACTAGGCTTTGGAAGACCTCTGTCCCAGCACTGGAACCATGGGGTTAGGTAGGATGGGCAGGAAGAGACTACACAGGGTAAGTATTCAGATTATATGAAAAGTCACACTAGGTCCACTATTAGCAAAGGAAATTTAGGAAAATTTGTAAGCAATATTACCACAAGTATAGATACCACTTACTGAAGAACTTCAAAAGCAAGGAAAGAAGTCATTCAAATTCATTTTAAAAGACCAAATTTTGGATTTTACAATTGCATTTGTTGGATTTGGGAATTGAGGGAAAGGTTAGCATTCAGTTTCACTTTACTTTCTTATGACTAAAATATGAACATAAATCTGAGTGACTCAAAATGCTGTTTCTTAAAATATTTGCTTTTTTTTTTTTTTTTTTTTTTAGTTTGTTCTTAGAAGGGCTTGAAAATGTTAATAATTTTCACTTCTGTTTTAAGGAATGGAGTCTTGATCCTGTTACCGCATAAGGAAACCCCTTCAAAAAAGAAAAACAGTATTTCCTTTTGATTACTACCACATAACATTCATTAACTTCAATACAGATTACACTGAGTGCTAAGCAAGCCTGTACTTTGCCGCTAATCAAGTCCACAGACTCTCCAGTGCTACATCTATATTACAAGCACCCATGGAATATTTGTCCTTGTTGCCCCTGCTAGATGATCAAGCTTGCCAGCATACAGTACTGGTTCCCAGGTACTGATATCCTACACCAATGTTTTGGGGCCACACAGGAGTAAAACTGTGAAGCTGAATCTCACTTATGAGGTACAAGTCCAGGCAACACTGAGATCACTCTACACAGGGCAAATAAGTCTCACTTTCTATCTAGTTCCAGAAGATCTCTGATCTCTCCTGTAACACGTACTTACTAGCCACGGGTCAAGCAAACCAAGTACATCTTACAACTTTAGCTTATTTTTGCACAATCAAGAATTTTGTTGGTGTCTTACCTCAAACTTTCTGAAACATCTGAATATTAGTTCAGCAATAAGCAAGTAGATAACTCCATTGAACACTATGGAAGTGTAAAAAAAAACAAATGCTTGAACTTGGGCTTAACCATGTGCTGAAATATAGCGTCTTTGTATATAAATGTTCCTACTGCTGATTAATTCCTGGACTATGCAATAAGCCTTAAGGTTTCTACAAGTATTATTTATACAAACACTTTAAAGACAAATTGTTTTTATATAAAAGCTTCAAGGAGGTAAAGGATACTTCGGCTTTCACAGAAACTGGCACGGAGAGTCTCCATTAGTTAAAGAAGAAAGGCACACTCTTAGCAATCTATTTTTTTTTTTTTTGATTAGGGAATGGTGAGCAGAGAGGGAAGGTAGGGAAAAAAAGAGTTTCAGAACCTACAGGAGCACTTGGATCATCAGGATGAGGGGTTTTTTATTTTTGAGATCTGTTTTTTCTATCAAGTTCACATAATTTTCCATGCAGTAGCAGGAGAAACATCCTTCCCAAAAGCAACTTTGTCACAAAAATGGTAAAAAGATACAGAATCCAGGAACCGATTTTAGGCGGTCAGATTGGACATGCACAGCAAAGGAGAAACAGCTAGAGTTTCCTAAATTACAACTTCTGCTGCATACTAGAGTATCTGCAGTAGAGTCATTTGCCCATTTTTTCCCCTCCTCTGTCCCAAAAGGACCAGCCACATGCTGCTCCGCTGCACTTGTCCAGATGCCTCTAACATCTGCCAAATCACTGTTTGCCACTGATAATGCACATCTCACACACTAGATCTCTCTACAGCGCACAAAAAACTCAAAGTTACCCAAAACAGGGCACACTGGCCTCTTACAGAAGCCTCACAAGGTCTGAGTAACTCCATGTACACATCAACTCGCTACCCAAGGTGAGCACTAAGTCACAGACTGGGTCAGAACCCATCCGACCTCATTTCAGTGATACGGGCTGAGAGCAGAGCTGTTGTCCTGCCTCGGTATCAGTGTGGGCTATAGGAAGCCTTTTAGCATTGGTCTGTAATTGTGGAACTGGATGTGATGAAGTACAAACAATCGTTCTTGATTTAAAAGGTGTAAGTAGTGGGCCTAGACAACTATTGCAACTTTTGGGAAAATACTTAAATAGAGCAGTAAGATACTCTATATTGAGCTGCTCAAAATCCTTTTCACTCCGTAATTGCAGCTCACTCTAATTCCATCCATGCATTCCTCAAATACAAAGATACTGTAATATGACTCAGTTGCCTAAATATGCAAATATTTGGAAATATTTGAAATCTCTTTTTTTTTTTTCCCCTCTTCTTTTTTTAAACTTTGAGACAGAAGTCTGAAAACAATTATTTTCAGATATATTGAAATATTATTTGTTCTTGAAGTCAAACGTTTATATAGGTACCGACCAATATGGACCTACTACACAGTAAAACATTAGGTAGCTCTCCAGGCTTATACCCTACAAGGGCAGCAGTTGTCATCTTCTGATCAACTGTTTATAAGGTGATTTTGGTGATAATAAAAACAAACAAACAAAAAATAAAGCACAAAAAACCTCACAACAATGGCCACAAAAACCCCACACACACTCCTCTCAAGCTGCCCGGTACTACTGTGACAAACTGTAATACATAACAGCAGATGTAATTTACTACTAAAAAGTAGAAATGCCTCCTCAATTGTTTCTCACACTTCAAGTATTAAACCAGCAAAAGGCCAGTTAGGTCAGCTGCTCACCTCAACTCTTTAAGCACAAGAGCTACTAAACTACATAAGACGGTTTCTATTGGTACTAGTGTTACTAGTAGTACTCAAATTCAGTTGCTTTAGAAAACAGGACAGCCAACCTGGCTGGGCAGCTTCGTATCACAAGTACACAGAAAACTATCACCCAGTTGTAGCTGAGGAGCAGCCATTAACCAGACGAGCAGACAGACATGCCAAACTTAAGGAGACTTGTACACTTGTGTGTTCAATCGTATAAAGTTGTATAATGTGTTAAAGCTTCCTCACCTCAGTCTTACATTTCTCCTTGTCACTTGCCCTTAGTTTTCTTTCTTTATTAAGCAGGAAAATAAGAGGACAATTCAAAGACAATCACCTTTTGTGAACAGATGCCAAAAAGTATACAGAAAAAGAACACAGTACAATAAGTAATACAAGTAGGGTACACTATTAGCTTAGTATGAACCAGAACAAGAGAAATACATATATCACAAAGGTTTTTGATCTACTGTCAGGAACACTGAACATCTGCCTTTCTGAAGGGAATCGATATGTTTACTGAAAGCCTGATATTATCATCACAGATAGTGTAAATGCTGGAATAGTGTTCACAATGTCAGTTTGCTCCTCAGAAGCAATACTAAAGTAGAAGAAAGTTCCAAACATAATAACGTGAGCCCTAGAAAGGAGCTGTAAAAGCAAGTGTTTACATACAAGAAATTTCCCTCTAATAAAATTTCTCCTATGACACATAGGGCAGGCGAGGGGAGCTAGCACCTACATTGTCTCTGTTGTACAGCGAAAGGAAGCTAGAAGTGGACTGCTCAGCACTGAAACCAGGCTAGTTTAAACTGGCATAGAAAGACTTCATAGCTGATCACCCTCAGTTTGAGGCGTAGCATTATTTCCCTTCCAGAAATGGCAAAACTTTGGGGCTTCAGGTAGGAATCAGTGGGTGAAAACCTACTGGTGAGCAATACTTTCTGCACCCTGAGAAAAGGTGAGCTGAGTCCAGCTCTCAGTACAAGTCTGGAGTTTTCAAAACTTTACAATACTGCAAGATGAACTAGAGGTTTTGGGTTTGTTTTTCAAAGACCATGCTTGACAGGATGTCTCCTAAGGACAACGTCATTTCCAACAGCTTTTATATTTATTGGTTTCCTCACTTTAAACATCTCTGCGATCATCACTTAAAAACACACACAGAAGTAAAAATGCAGACTACCTTCTTATTGTGCTTTAAGAAGTGGTATCCTAGAGAAAGCTTCTTGTAGGCCTCTCCATATTTCTCATGCCAGTCTTGCACTGACTGAATGGCTGCCTTCCTCAGTTTCTGTGCCACTTCTTTGGGCGGGGGAAGAGGCTGCTCATGGTCTATCCCCACCGTCAGCTCCAAGAACTCTTGGAAGTTGGAAATAATCAGCGTCCGGAATTTATGGGATTGGGTGAACAACTCCTGCACGATCTGAAAAGCCGAGAAGCGTATCTCGGCGTGCTCCTCATTGAGCCGCGTTGTCAGCAGGTGATAGGCATGGTTGATATGTTCTTCTGAAGACCTGAGAAAGGAAAAAATGGAAGAGGAGGAGGGGGAGTTATTTAAAAAAGAGGTCTGGCACATAAAACCGTATTTATTTTGGGGGGTGGGGTTTATTTTAAGTTTTTAAACCAGCAGCTTCCGTGCTGGCTGCAGGCAGCAGCCCCCGCGGCCGCCCGGCCCGGCCGATCGTACTTGCAGATTTTCTTCAGCTCCTTCATCCCCGCCGGCTGCAGCCGCGGCTCCCCCGAGGTGGTGAGCTCCTCCACCAGCGCGGCGAGGCGCTGATCCAGCTCCGCCGGCCGGGAGGCGCCGAGCTGCGGGGACAACGGCCCCGGGGAGCCCGGGCGGGGCGCCGGGACCCCGCACCGCCGCCGCGCCATTGCTTCCTCCCACCCTGCGCCCCGGCGCCGGGTGGTACCGCCCTCACACCCCCCCCCGCCCCCGGCGCCTACCACCGCCCCCGCGGCTGCCGCTTGAGGGGCGCGCCGCCCCGCTTCCGCGCGGTGACGTCACAACAACAGGAAGCACGACAGGAGGAAGGCGGGGAATGCCTTAAAGGGACCGTGCCCCTCCTTTTTTCTGGGGGGGTGTTAACCCCTTGCTGTCCGGAGGGGGCGCAAGGGCATAGCTGCGCCATCTCGGGGAGGGGACGAGCGGCTCCCACGAGGCCACCGAGCCCGGAGGGGAACACCGGCCCACCACACAGCCCTCCTGTGATTACAAACCTACGCTGGATATCTCTAAAGAATCGCTTCAAAAAGACGGTTTTGAGGGGGCAAACGAGGCCACGGCCTGGCCTGCAGGGCTGGCACAAGCACCACCCCCCGGAGACCCTCCCAGGTGCAAGGGGTGACAGGCCAGGCGTGGGGAGCGCATGGCAGCCACGCTTCCTTGGGGCTTTGAGGGGCGTCAAATCTCCCGCCTTGCTCGTCCCTGCCCAGCCCGCAGCCCTCTCTCTGGGAAGCTCACACAGGGCGGGAAACGAAGGGATGAAGGCAGGGATCCAGGCCCTCAGCCACGGCGCCCTGCCACCCGGCCCCTCCTCGCTTCGAAAAAAGTGAATTTTCTCGAGCAGCTGCTGATATCCAGAGCCCGGAGGGCCTGTGGAGTTTGTCACAACAGCCGGAATGCCATTTTCACATGGGCTCTGTGCGCACCACATGAAACACAGTTTGAGCTTTTAATCACGGGTTCGTAGGTTGCAGATGCAAGGATATGGTGGGACGAGTAAATAGGCCAGCACAGTCCATCCCTCAACAGCCAAAACTGTAGTTATTTTTTTTCCAAGCGCTTTGTGACATTTGGCTTCTAGTGGTGTAAGCTGTGGATTGCCTCTTTGGGAAAGGTCTTCCACTTTGCAGCACTTGGAAGTTACGCTGGCTTTAGAATATTGCAGGGATGAGAGGATTGTCACTGTGTAGCCCTACCAAAAGGGTACCTTTATATATAAAAAACTGGAAAGAAACACAATGGTGAATGGAGCCCGGTTGTCAGGACTCTCAGGGGGAGTATTAGAGCACGATGGTGTTTATGTGATATCTTCCACTTGAAAACCTCAGAGCACTTGATGAATGCTACCTGTCAGCTTGTGGAGAGAGAAGCTGATGAAGGATCACAGCAAAAAGAGAGAAGCTGAGGTACTGGGCATGGCAAGGGGGTGTTACTTACCTGGGTCCCATCCTTAAAGCATGGTATATACTCTGCTGCGGTCGGATAATGTGGTTAACCAAAGTGCTGCCCCATCTTTTCCCACGTGCAGGAAAGCATCCAGAGTTTTACTCTGCATGCAGCCGTGCTCCGAGGGCATGCCCCTGGCATGTGTCCTGCTGCCCTTAGCGTCACCTATGGTGAGAGAGAGATTAAAAGATTTGTCCGTACTCTGGTCTCTGTTTGCACCAGCCGTACAAGAATGGTTCAGTTACTGGAGATCATGAGGCTGCTCTGAATTCACTGCTTTCAGTTTTGGGTACTCAATTAGAAATGTTCCGCAGACCCCCATCTCTGAAGGTGCTGATTAATCACTGGGAAAGATCAAGCCCTTGCAAGTGCCTGCTCTGAACACCCTAAAGAAGGCAGACATATAAAATATCTATTCCCATTTGAAAATGTCAGATAATTGGAAGGTATTTCCATTAATCCACAGTTAAGACATGTTGGAAGTAACGTACATGAATTGGTGTTGAAGTTGTCTCTATTGACTCCTGTGATAGGGAGAGACATCATTAAGGCTTTTCTACAAGAAATGAACTCATATTTTCAACCAAATTTACTGCAGTAAATGAATACATACTTTTTTCAGTTGTTCTGTTATTTCTGATTTGATACATGAAACCAATGACATCTTACTTTTTTATGTTTCTCCTTTCCTCATCGCCTTCCATCAAGTAAAATGGCTTTCCATGTGAAAGCCACACAAAATGGCACAGCTCATCTTTAAAATTTAGATCAGTTTACTCTTTCAGTATTTCTTATTTTTCTATTTCTCTTCTTAATTTAATTGAAAGTGCCTGAACAACGGCTTTCTGTTTGGTTATAGCTTGCAAATTTAGCATTGCTGTACTATGTAGAAACAGTATTCCAAAATGAGCCTTAAGCAACAGACTTAACATCTACAAAGGCACCAATTTCATATCCATGCATAATGTTTAAAGAAATCCCTGCAAGGAGCCATATGTTTTTGCGAAAAATCAGTTGATGAATGAATGCTGAGTTATGTAGCTCACTCATGGTAGTCCTGTAGGCAAATCTCTAAGCTTTTTTTTTTTTTTTTTTTTTTTTAATCAAAGACAATTACATAAAATTGTGTTTGCTCAAGTTGCTGAGTTTCTTTCCCCTTCTTGTTTTTAATGAACATTATAAATATCCACCATTCAAATATTGCCATACTCTCTTCATCTGGACCAATCTGATAGAAGGCTGAAGAGGGGTAGAACACTGAATAATTCATTTAGCTGCAAAAGTCACAACCACTCTGCACCTGCGTTGATTTTGCCCTGACACGACTGTTCTGGGCTGTTCAGCCTAGGGGATCACAGGACACTCTGGAGTGCAGAGGCAGAACAAAACAACACCTGCTACCCCTTCAGAGCCTCAAGGTTGAATGTTACTATCAGTTTACGTGTGGTTTCAGCAAAGCCTGGGTCTGCTGCTTCATGTCATGTGGGTTGTGACAGGTTGTTGGTTCAAGAAGTTGCATTTCTTACCTCTGTGGTGAGAGATCAGCAAGAGCAACGCAGTTACACTTTGCTAGTTCTCCAAGGAGAGCGATACTTTGCAGGAGCAGAGATTCTTCCAGAAACACTGTCCTGTCCACCACCTCTCCAGGATACCCAATGCTATCATCATTGGCAAGAGGCATCTGCAATGGGAATGTTCTCCTACAATATACCTTCAGGCATAACCAGCTGGTCCATCCAGAGATCATCTCCAGTTGGTCCAGGATCTTTGGCCAAATACATAGGCAAAGAAAACCCCAGTGTTTTGTCCACTGACACCGATTATTTGGGTCTAGGGGTTCTTATACTAAAGAAGAGCCAACTGTTATGTCACAAATTTAAAAGGTCAAACTGATTGCTCTAGGAAGGATTGTTTCAGACTTCTGTGTAATACTGAATTTTCTGGTGTAGTCTTTTTATAAAACAAACATCTAGGCAGGAGAGTTCCACCATTTTACTAAATGATTTTTTGCCTGGGATTGTTTTCCAACTTTGCAATAAAAGAGCATGTCAGGCAGAAAGAAACCCCACTGAACTTTTGAGATAGATGTATTCAGCTTAATGATATGAAATTAGAAAGGAGGGGTTCTTCTCCTGCCAAAATGGAACTTGGGCAAAAAAGCTTCCCAACAAATAATTTGGAGTTAAAATAACTTTGGTTTCAGGCCTGAAGATACAGAAACACGATAAACACTGATATTAAATTGTCACAGTTTTTGCCAATTGGGTTGCAAAGAAAATACTGACCTTCTTTGTGAGATGAATAGATGCTTAACCACCAGTTTGATTCCAGCAAAAGGATGACAGTTATTTGAAAGCTCTGAACTACCTCGTAAGGGGTAAGGACTATATTTAAACAGATACTCTCAAAGGAGGAATAGTCTATTCATTAAACCATCAATAATGCAAGGCCAAAGATACTTGGCGACCTCCTCTAATTATGTGAAATATTGACTGTGACAACACTTCAGCCTACTGTAACGTTTTATAATTCTGTCATAGGAGATGAATGAGCCTGCTCTGTATGGTCTAGATCACTAATTAAATAACCATTTGTAAGTTGGATGGAGCAGGAATAGCTGTAGGAGAACCATCACAAATCAAGGAGCACCTTCTTACACGTAGCTTATATTCATGTCTAGAATAATTTTTAAAAACGATCCTACAGCGTTTCCTGAAGCTGCATGCCAACATTGATGCATTTAACTAGTATCAATGAGGGTAAATTCCTTTTTCCTCCATGGAAAGATCTATGCAGACTCTAACTGGAACCTAATGAGCATTTCTCCATGTTAGACAATATATGTCCCTATCACAGGTTAATATTTCTACATGTATTCACCCAAAGAAGATCAAGGTACATCCCACTGCACTGCAAACAGGTGCCTTTGGGGGCCTGGGGGCTGTCCCCAGATAGCTTTTAGGGCAGGACTCGGATCAGGTGGTTCAGAAAAGGAGGAGCTTGAAGCTTGTTAACATGTAGAAAAGGAGAGTTGAGAGGAAAAGAAGTACCCCAAGCTTCTAATAAGAGGAAATCCAGCCCGAATTCTGCTTGAAGACCCTCTGATGCTAAATCATACAGTGACAGAAATGCCACTTTCACAGGTATGCAAATAGGACTGCTTTCAAACATGCAATGTTAGCAAAGGTCTCTTAACTTAAAGAGACTGGTTTGAGTGTCACATTGACCCACACTGGTATGGTTTTGAAACTCTTTCTGTCTGACATCTGAGCTGTCCTGTCCTTGGAAAGCCACAACCTGCAATAGAACTGCGGTCACTGCAGCTGGTTTCTCCAAATGAGAGACTGCACAGAGCTGTGGCTTCAGATACCCAAAGGAATTGCTTTTTTCTTCTTTTCCCAAGGATGTAGAAAAGGAGAGAAGTGCTCTGAAGTTGCTAAAAGCTGCGGCGCTGCCTCCAGTTAAAACGGGAGCGATGAAGATCATTCCTGATGTGAAACGGTTATCATCACTGTCGGACACGGGCGGGCGATGGTTCCAGATGTGTCACACAGCCATTGCACACCATTGCACAAACGCTGTCCCATAGTGGGTTTCCATTTCTATTCTCTGTCCTGTTCGTGCGTCAGGTGGCTTGAACCCCCGGTGATGCTGCAATCACTCAATCATAGGAGCGGGTCCCCAGTCATCCGGCAAAATCCACTGTATTCCCTCAGCATCAGGAGAGTGCCCAAACAAGCATGCTCTCTGCCTTCGGGCCTTTT